GGGTACAACTTTTGCATGACATCATTAGGTGATATTCATCTTCTACTTGATTCTGATCACAAAGTAAATGTCCTTTGACAGCATTACTTGAATTAATTTCCATTGCACAAAAAGCAGCAAATACTCTTACTGAAGCACAGAATTGGCATGATTTTTCCCGGCCATTCACGCAAACTGCAAATCAAGACTTTTACTGCATCCATAGTTGTTGACAGCCGCTATGATGAATGTATTGTGACATACGTCGACCTCTGGAATCTGACCTTACATTCATGCAACATTTACTGCCCATTCATACCCGTTCAATTTCTTTTCATTATTTCATCCAGATTCCATGGTATTTAATATTTAAAACCAACCTTCATTTCACAGTCACTCAAGTTTTCACTTTTCTAAAATTATCTTACTGATCAAAAGACTTTTCACTCTCATCATGCAATCTCCCATAGTACTTCCGCAGACACAGCGGCGATCGCCAATATATCTACAAATAACCTCGCTCTCAGGAGCTGAGGAATAAATGGTTTATTCACAATCATATAAACAATAGCAGTATAGCTTCTTTATTACTAGTTAAATCAGAACGACTGTCCCTCTCGAACGATGAGGGAATTCAGTCCAACGTTTACGTATCTATTGTGTCATACCATACACGTATCACACTATCTTTGTACATTATCTGAACGCTCTGTTACAAGCTGACGTCAGCAAACCTATATTTAGTGAGTTCATTTGACGTGATGAGGCATGGTTCACGGCACAAATGCCGACTAACCTTTCATAACACCTTGATGAGTGATCTTTTGAATGAGAAATAGAATAAGAGTATATATATGCTTGCAGGAGTACAAACATGAATTTACTAACACCCCATTTTAAATTATGAATTTAATAACACCCCAAAATTGTATAATCAAATTATAACAGTAATGACAAAATCAATCCTATTGGGACGCATGTTCTGGACTAACCAGTTCAGTAGAATTGCTATTAATTCAGTCATTTAAATGCTTTGTACGTAAAATATTGCTTCAAAAAAGCCGTTGTACCTACACATGTGTCATGGTTGATGAATACACTAGACACACCACACCTCTTACTTAAACAGATAAACACCATTGAAAGTAATGTAGTTGTACTTGTTGCCATAGATTCCAAAATCTTCAGAAGGTCCCAGGAGTAACCACACCAAGTCACCCTTCTTTAACGGAAGCATGACACTTTGGGACTGCATCACCTTGCGGCTACTTGCATCCGCTGTCATCGCTACTACTGGGTCCTGATTTAACATCAACACAACCCCGATTAACTTGTCGTCATAGGATCGTACAGTATAGGAGAAGTAGTAGATTCCAGGCAACGTGCAGTTGAAGTATCCAGCTCGTCTATCCATCTGTTTGCCCTTGTTCGTCTGTACCTTTTGGAAATTGATAACCTGAGATACGTTGTTTATCCCCATCATAGGACTTGTTCGGATTGCACAGAAAGCGGATTTCCTTGAAGCTGTAATATAGTTTTATGGAAAGACGCATTGTGGATAACTTATATTTAAATACAAAATGTTATTTGTCGTCAAATAAAAGCGTTGTCTTGGCGGCAAATATGATATAACATGCTCTATTGGTTTTATCGAAATGAAACAAAAACAACTTTAAAAATACTCAAAATATTCACATTGTCGTTTTAATTTTTATTGTGTCACTTAAATTTGACGTGAATGATGATTCATATTTATAAGTGGATGACGTGCCTGACGTCATGATTGTCATTAACTCACCTCTGAGTAAATCACTAAATACTTCTCTCAGCTGCACTGCCACTTCTTCCACCTCATCGGCTCTTGCTAACCTTGGCTCGCGGAGTGATCTTGAGTGTCTGAAAGGGAATAGTCCCGAAGGCCTGGGTCTATGTAGCTTAGACTGGGCAGGACTTTCCTCTTCTGTTTCTTGTGTTGTAGTAGGGACTTCTGTTTCCGCAAGGGATGTCGATTCGTGATCTCCCAGTACCTCTACTTCTCTTGTTATCAACTGAGCAAATGCTCTGCTTAGAGCGTTGATTGAGTCAGGTGAAAGCTCAACACTATTCTCTTCACCAGTCTCATCATCTATTGCATTGTCGTCTCTATTTCTATCGCGACCTGCAGCATGAGATCTTATGCTGAAGCCGTCCGTTATCTGTCTTATCTCATCCCGATCAAGATTATTAACCCATCCCCCATCCGTAAAACCTCTCTCTGCTGTACCAGAATCTGGTCCACTTCCATCACATCGGCAACCTTCTCGTACACTTTCATGTAATTCGGTAATAAGCTGTTCGGTTCTCTGATCGCTGTCGAGGATTCTGGGTATAACTTCAGTCGCTTCTTGTAGTTGGTCGATCTGTGCTGACTGGATGCGGAGAGTGTGCTGTATGTCATCATTGCGGGTGTCACTACTCAGTGTATCTTCAAGATTTGTGACACGCTGAGAAAGTTCAATCACCATATCGATCAGTTGGTCGTTAGTTAGTCGCGGGATGGGGGCTTCTGTTGGTCGAGATCCAAGTCTTAAAAGACGCGGGTCAATGCTGTGTGCAAAAACAGCTACCGTCAGGAGAAAACAGGCACGCGTGCTTAGCCACGAGAAAGCCATCTTGGTTTTCCTGACAATGCAGACAGATCAGTTTTCACCTTTCACAACCTGCAAGAAACAACCCTGAGTTGAAATACGCTGTAATAGGTTATCACATTATCAAAATGACAATGAGTACTGAATTCCTGAAGAGTAAATAGAATAAAATGTTCATAAATTACTTAATTGCAAGATCAAGTTCTTGTGAAATGCTTTCAATCTCACAACATTTATAAATACGTCTTTTGAGGCCGATGCCATTGTAAGTGCGGACGACAAAGTTGATAACACAAATTGTTTGCTGTTTGTTAAATGTTATTGCTTTGTCTACAAAGAAGTTATGCACCTAAAGTTTGGAAATGACTGCTTTAGCGTCCACATTGGGGATGACACCAAACTTATGCTTCGACCACAGTCCCCCAAGAACTGTGCTTCTATGCATTAGTTGTGTTTTATCATTTTATTGAAAAGTTTCGATTCTTCTTAAAAATAATCACAGACCAATTGAACAACAACAAAAGATCCAAAACAAAGTTTAGCCTTGAATTCACCACATTTGTTAACTAGTAAAACGCTTTTCGAGGCCCCAAGTAAAGATAAACTTACTATTTGCGTAAAGCAAAGCATAATCTCAGCATGTTACTTAACCATAGAAGTTATATTGGATGATAAACTTAGTGTGTAGTTAAACGTCCAATCATTCTTAACTGTGTTGAATTTAATTGAATATCTCGAATACCACACAGAAATACTCTTTGAATGCTAACTAACATATGGGATGCAATCATGTATATTACATGGAAGGTTCATCCTACTCTAACAATAATGAGTATGGTATGTTTAAATATATCTTATGGATATGCAGTAAAACTTTAAATAAATATTTCAGTGTTGCGTTCTTATGGTCACCTTTCTCACTCAGCGTGACAACTGTGACAAGTGGTAAACATAAGTGTCCAATTTCGGAGAGTTGTCATGCGTGTTTAAGGTCCAGGGACACTGAAATCCAATAATGATGAAAGAGATGTCCTGTCATCAACATACGGACACAGTTACACTAAAAGCCTGGAACTGAATATCGCAAAGTGTATTTTCTTTTAGAATTTCGAGTTTTCAAACCAGGTTCCTGTTATTTAGCAAAAATGTTTACCAGAATTTAAATCCCTTGATGCTAAATACGGAAAAAGGGACAACAGGGAAAAAGAATGAAACGTACAAATCATAAACATGTGCGAGCGTATAATAAATTCTGACATTTTGAATTATGTCACAACTGCATTTATTTTCTGGAAATTGGCTTTGATATATTGTTTACTGCAAATTTGGCTGAAGCTGAAGACACATTCATCGACGATGCTCCAAATGCCAGCATATACGAGTAATTGCATGTCATATTAATATTTCATTGTGTAAATGGGTTCCAGACACAAATATAATTGCATAAATATGTCTGTTTTACACACGTTTTTCACGTGCATTGTTGTACACAATCTTTGAAACAGCAAAGGGTGCCTATGTGTTGACGCATTACTACAACCTTTGTTGTGGTCTGATAAAATATCCATGCCTCACATTTGAAAATAAATGCATGGAAGTATGTGTAATTCGTCTTGGAGAGAAAAAAAAACTGACAGAGAAATGTCGAGACAATGCATCGAAATTTTATATTCCAATTCCAATGGCAGTTGCATCTTTGAAACAAAGTTCATTTGAGTAGAACACTTGAATGTAAAACGTGCACATTTAAGGAAAACATTTAAAAAGAAATACGTACAGTTGATACTCTTTAAAATAAACACATGATAATAGGGAAACTAAAATATGTTGAACTATATTTACCTTTCTTGTAAGTAGGTGCGAGTTCTCTGATTCCCTGATTTGTAGTGTGATGTCTTATTAATCTTGTAATTCCGTGGGGTTCAGTTTTATACACTGGTTTGTCAACAATGTATTACAGGACGCCCAATGCTCCTAGGTCTAACCGCACATACGTCATGACCACGCCAGGAGTCTGCCAATACTGTCTAGTACATGGAGGTCAGTTAGGTCGAATACGTCTTCGGAACATTTGATATTGCGGGCCAAGGAATGTGTTGTCATCATATTTCAAGATATACATCACTATGGTGTGGATATAATGTTACGTAATTCACATGAGTCATCCATCATAGTATCAGAAAACAAATTCCCTGGAAAAATTATTCTTAATTTTTCAGTTTTCTTTTTTCAACATATATTAAACATCTTCAACTCAGTATGAATCATGTAACAAGAAATCATCCAAATTATAAGAAGTTTCTCTTCTGAATCCTGAACATAGTCCCTGATAGCATAATGACTATTTGCTCCCAGTTTTGCACGAACGCCTACAGGCACGTTTGCCAGCCGAGCATTCATCCAATGATTTGTTTTATTTGAAAACAGTTATTGAGTTATTGATATACGTGCCATTCAGTGGGAGTGAGGTGTTCGATTACAATGTCGAACTTAACATGGAATTATAATACTTTATTTAATGCAATACGCCCTCAGTGTATCGCCCAATCACACATGTTTGAGTACATATATATATACTCAAATATATATAAACTGTTTAAATCACTTTATTCTATGTATAAAAATATTAAGGCTGCTGTGAAAAACCCAAAGGGAGTTACTGAATTTTTCCATATTAATGTTGGGCTGCAGCAGGGTTCTGTTATATCACTTTTACTGTTTTGCTTTTACATAAATGACCTTAAGATTGCCCTCCAACAAGGACGGGAATCAGTTGTGTATATAAATACTTTAAAACTTTTTTATTTGTTATATGCGGATGATTTGGTGTTGTTCAGCAGCACACCTGTTGGATTACAAAGATTACTTAATAACTTAGTGGACTATTGTCTAAATGGAGACTGAATATTAATCTGAAAAAATAAAAAATAATTGTTTTCCGAAAAGGGGGTTGTCTGAAAAAATATGAAAAATGGTTTCTGAGGGGTAAAGAAATTGAAATTGGAGCGAGCTAGAAAAGCACTATTTTGTTTGGAAAAAACCATTATGGGGTTGGGGGGACTGCAGCCTAATCTTCCATGCAAAGTATTTGACTGTAAAATATTGCCAATTTTGTTATACGGTAGTTGTGTGTGGGGAATGCGGGGT